TAAATCATTCTATATAATATTTTGTTTTAAAAATGCAATATAAACTTTGTTTTACGGATAAAACAGGCTTTTTTTTTATTTTCCACAAACTTTTTGGGTTACCAATGTGTCTTATTATGAACAATGAAACAAAATATTTTTCAAATATATGAACAAAGGTTTTAAATGAGTGTTACAACATTCAAAGATTGGGAACATATTAAAGTAAAAATAAAAGTTTTATCTGGTTTTGTGCACAGTTAAATAAAAAGATTTTGTTTTTTAAAATATTTATTAAAAAAATTTATATTAACATACTACACTAACATTTCAAAAAAAGAAAAATTAACTATAAGTAACTATAAGTAACATCCTAAAAAATATAAGAAACAAAGAAACAACCTATAAGAAGTAAAAAACAACCTATAAGAAACAAAAAAAAACCTATAAGAAACAAAAAACAACCAATAAGAAACAAAAAAAACTAAAAACCTAACCTCTTAACAAAAGAAAAATCTTTGAAAAACAACGTTAATAATTAAAAATTGCACTGACATTGTTTCTTCAATAATGATGTCTTAACGGACCAATATTTTTTTTCTTCTTCAGCAGCCTCCATTTTTACTTTATGTAATTCTTTCTGCTGGTGAATACTTTCTCTTAGTTTCTGCCTCCTTAGTTGTGCCTCGTCATCTATTAGCTGCCTTTTTGTGTTTTTTAATTTATTCACAAACTTCCTTTTTGCTCCTAATATTGGCCTGCAAGGAGTGTTATTTTCTTTGTGTTCCTCTTCAATTTCACTTACATCTAAAAATATATTATTTAAAAATAAATAATACATTCATAAAACAAATAAGTTTTTACATCAACGTTGATAACAATGATAATGTATATATTACCTTTTACATATTCTTTATTAACCTGCTCAGATTCAGGATCATTTTTACTGCAGCCACTTACAGATGGTAAATCTGGTGAATCTAAAAATCATTGATATATAGTTTTTTTAAATAATTAGGTAGTTATTTTTGCACTTACTCTTCTCATTTTGAAAGATATGAATGCTATCAAATTGATTATCAATCTCATAATTTATTGTTGGTACTATAGACCGCACTCTTTCTTCGATAGGATCTGCATCATCATCTAGTGGAGGCCCACCACCTGTAGCAAGCATGTGCCGTTTTTTTTCTGTATCTGACTTTCTAGTCCTACAAAACAATTTTTTAATATTCTACAAGAACAGTTTCTATAAAACTTACTTCTGCTTAATGTTGTCCCAAAGCTTTTTTAATTGCTTTGATTTCCTTTTTGTCACATCATTTGCATTAAACAATGATTCGATATTTTGCCATGCTTCTTGTTTTTTTCGAATATTGACACCATCAGTTTTCTTGGTTTCAATAATGTGCTTGTGGCTGTCCACTAAATGTATAAGTAAGTTTTTCTCCCTCTCTGAATAAAATTTACGTTCCGCCATGAAAACGATTCTACTTAAAGTACAAACTTCACCTATGACACACACACAATTAACAAAAAATGTAACAAAAATTCTTCTTTTCAGAATATTTATAAACTAATACCCAAATTTTCATACGGTAGTGGCAAAATATTAACAAAAAGAAGCAGAATAATGACAGTAGTAGATGTTGCCACTTATTCTACTTACTTAAGGTTTCCTTTGTCAAGGCAATACAGAATAAGGATTATGAATTGAAATGTTTAGGGAGACCTTAAGTTTTCCTTACATGAGGTATCCTTAAGTGTACCTTCAAGTACTAACTATGAATACGGCACTAAAGGACTTTAAGGCTGCGTTAAGTTAACGGTCAACTTGACTGGTATAGTCAGACCCTGTCAGACCGCTCGCTAGGCGATGTAGTCGAAACTGTCTAGTTCTATTTTGTAAAATTCATGATTAGCTAACCGAAAATTACAAGACCAGGCAGTCCCTTCTGTCTCCTGGGTTCTGTGAGTCCCTCGTCCCTCGACACATCGACAGTTCTAAAGAATGCGGTAAACTCAATAAGAAGGCATTTAAAAATAATATGAACAGCAGAAAGAGAAATAAACTTATTATGGCTATTTGTCAGTTGGCTTTTCAAACTAATGATGAAATTTCATTAATAAATAATTCTTTTGAAAGTGTAAGTTCAAGCATCAGCATCTTAAATAGGAAAGATTCTTGTAAGTATAGCTTTTCCGCCTATTTTAGAGTAACTGGTAACTAATCCCGTAATAATATTACATAATATTTGGTTTTCCGTATACAATAGAACATTTCAGAAGTCCAAACACTAAAGAAAAATTACATAAATATTACTGGAAACTATCCTGATAGTGCTTTTGGTGAACACTTCCGAATGAGTAGAGTAACATTTAAGGTAGGTATTTTAAATAATTTTATAATATTTCATTGTACCATGTTAAATGTGTTTCAGAAGCTATTAACGATTATCACTACAAATGAAAATACACTAAGAACATAATGGTCGATATGTACCTTGTCATGTAGAGCTTTAAATGACACTGGATTTTAGCTACTCCAGATAGTTTTAGAAGTGTTGGCAAGCGGTTTAATGTAAACCGAGGAACGGTTCACTTTTTATATGTAAACACATTAAAACGAATTTGCTTCCTAAAAATTAATTTTATTAAGTGGCCAAATCCACTTAAATTCAAAAAATTTAAAACTGAAATAAAAAAAATACTTTGTTGAATAAAAAATATTTAATAATTCTCAAAATAATTTATTCTAAAAATAAATACTAAACACTAAATATGCTTAGAGCCAACATTATAAAAGTATAACTACTAAATATGCTCAGAGCCAACAAAAAAATATACACAATGAAGTTTAATTTTTAATATTTACTGGCTGTCTCTTTCTAAAGCTACTACTTTCTTATAACTGTTTCTAGTTTCTTGAATTGTAATTAGCTTGTCAGTTGACTTTTGTGTATTTCTAATATTTGTGTTTATATTTGTTAATGTCTGATAGACCCATTCATCATTTATTTTTTATTTTTCCTTCTGAAATCTTCTAGAACCTCTGAAATTTCTGTATTTGTAGCTCCTACCAACACTCTCGTTGGAGGAGTATGTGATGGATCATTAGCCACTATCTCTTGTAGAGCATCATAAAACTTCTATGAAGTTGAACTTGCACCACTTTTATTTTCCTTATTAATAATATTTCTGTATGTGGCTTGGAGGCCACGCCATTTCCTTTCCACACTTTCCCACTATACCATGTACCCTTGTTCCTGCAAAGTGTTTGCAATCGTTTCAAATAAAACTTTTTTTATGAGGGTGCAGGAATTCATATTTTTTCAATTTTAACTCGAATAAAAGTGACAAAACAGCCTGTCGAGGCCATAAAAACCTATTTTGTACACTTGTATTGCTTGTTCCAACAATAAATAAATGCATTTCATTATATGCATGATGTATGCAATAATTTCACATGTATTTTTAAACCATAGGTAGAAATTTAAAAAAGTTTCTAACATTTATGGTGTTGTAAAAGTGTTATAGAGCCTGCAGAAAAATAAATAAAATTCCAAACCTGGAGCAATTTAATTGCTTTCACTTTGAGAATTTTGAAAGCTGCTGTAATATTGAGGATCCTTTGAATCAGAAGTAGAATGTTCCTGCTGATTTACGTTGTCAGGATCTTTCAGTTGATATATGTTATGAACTGCGGCTTCAGGGTTACAATTAGCATTGATGTGACCTTTCCGGTACATTTTGTAATATTTATCAACAAGTTTTCTCCGAAATACAGAGTCTAAAAACTAACTTTAATTAGTAATTGTTGAAAAAAAAAAACTGTTTTCCTACCTGTTTTTCCATATGGGATAATTGGTTAAGAAGACCGTAAAGCTTCTTCCCGTTTCATATATTAAATTGGTTTTTAACAACATTAGTTTATCCATAACTATTAATTTCTTGTTTGTTTAAATGAAATAAAAACATGAATTGACAATTGGCCATTCACTAGACAGTTTTGACTTACCTAGTCAAACTCATTTCTCGACCATTCTGACTGACTCTGACCGATCAGCTGATTAGTCATGACTAGTCATGTTGGTCGGTTTTCTCTTTCGCTAAACAGTTTCGACCGGTCCTACCGCTCACTTAACGCACCCTAAGGAATGGAATGAGGGAGAAAGTTGTTTTGTTGAAGGAAGAAAGATATATTATACTTTAAAAATGAAAAAAGTTAAGTTTATTATGGATGGATTCGAAATAATTTTAAGAGAAAATGATTTGGTTGCCGATGCTTTGGAGAACGGTTTGTTCTAATTTTCTTTTCAAATAACTTTTTATTTACTATTTTTATTCAATATAGATGATGATTTTACCATGCATTATTTTAAAAGGGCCGTTAAAGAAAGACGTTTAGAACATTTTGGGGTATTTTAAAAACCAAATGAAGAATTATCAATGGTAATATACTAAGACCTTGATTAGTCAGCTATTTTTGTTGAATCTAAATCTCGAGAATATTTTAATATCAATTTGATGAGACATCAAATTTGGCATTAATGAATTGATTATTAATGCCAAAATTATGTAGAATCAAATTGTAAAATGTCCGAGAAATTTAGTAACAACAAAAATAGCAAATTATTAATCAAGGTCGTATTATATTTGGGACGACTATTTTACTAGACCAAATATTGACTATTTCTCTAGAGAAATAGTCGCTGATATTTGGTCTAGGGAGATAGTCAATAATACGACATCACAGTGATGAAGATACTATTGAAGAAAATATTCTTGATGAAAATAATCCTGAACATTCTGAGACTCTTAAAACTCCAATAGCAACAGAGGAATTAAAATCAGACAAAACGTATTGGATGATGCCACAAAATTATTGTGGCAACTTTTCAAAGAATATAGTGGCAAAATAGGAAAGCCTTATAAAAAACTAATTTGCCCAGTATGGTTACAATTTTACTTTAATACAAATACAAAATCGCTTTAAAATTTTGGACAGAGGTTATAAAGAAATGACTATTAATAACAAAAAGACAGGGCGCAATAAAGCTAGCACTGCATTTTTAAATGAGCTTACTGATATTTATGCAAACAATAAGGCAGTATTTCCAGAATATTTATTGTCTTCTGATGGCACAAGTGAATCTAGGGCAATTAAATCAACATCTAAAGGAAAAGAAAATACTTATATTCTTCTTTTCCATCAAAGTAATGCCTCTACTTCATCTTATTCCGATCAACCTTGCGATGTAAATGATGATTCTACTTCCACCCAGAATGATAATGATTCAGCTTCATCTACCAATTTTAATCAACCACCACCAACAAAAAAAAATGTTGCAAGCGAACTGGAAAAATAAATATTCAGGAAAGGAATTTTCAATTAAAAAAAGGATAGAGAAGAAACAAACATTTTAATAAAAGAAAGACTGTTTAAATTCGAAAAAGAAAAACTAGAAGCACATAAACAACGAACTGAGGTTTTAAAAAATGCAAATATTAAATTATTCATGATTGGATAATTACTTTTTTAGATATTTATTCGAAAGTATTATTTTGTTAATATTGTTTTGTTTATTAGAATGTCTATATTATTTTGTTTATAAGAATATTGTTTTGTTTTTAAAGCTATTGTTCAGTATGTATATTTTGTATTCTTTAAAACTAGTGAGACTGAAAAGTGAGAATATTAAATTATGGTCATTAGAAAGTACCCCAGCTTGCACAAAAACATTTCATCTACGTTAATAAGCTGCAATTTTAGGCTCTTTAAGCTCGCATGCAATGTACTTTTAATGTTTCCCTAATATGCATGCAACCGCCGCAAGACTTTTATAGCACATCTCACAGAGGTTACAAAGTGAAGTTCGGAAAACATCACACTAGCACTTTTATGGTACTTTCCCCGAAAGTTGCTCTGAAACGTTTTATAGATGTTATAATGATATATATGAATTCATTATACAGTGTGTCCACGGATGGACTTAAAAATACTTATAAAAATATTTATTTTTAGTTTTAAAGAAAGTAATTTTCATAATTTCTTTTGCTTGTTAAACAAATACGATAAACGTTGAGAAATTATAAAAAAATTACTTTTTTGAAAAAATTTTTATTAGTATAGTTAAGTCCATTCTTGAACACACTATATGTAAAATAAGATAGTAAAATCTGAATAAAACAGAATAAAAAATTGCATAAATTTATTATTAGAAAGCTTTTGAAATCAAGTACCAATATCACACAAGTAGAATAATATAGGTCTATCACAAGGTGACACAATTACAAATATGTGATACCATGCTATGTCGATACTAAATTGTCCGCACCTTTACATTACACTTTTACGTCAATGTCAAACTAGAGATAGTGTAGCTAGTTAGTTTTTGTGAGAATATTGCCATTTTTATTTCAATAGCTTCATTTAAATGATATAAAATCATTTTCATTGCGTTAGTTTTCCGGCACTTCAAGTGCGTCCATCTGTCATATTACAAAATAGTGTTTATGTCGTTTCTACTTTATTCTATCTCGATGGGTAGCTATAAAACACTCAACAATTGGACAAAAGTAGGTATAAAGAGTATAAGGAATGTCTTAAAGGTTCACTAGAATATAAAACACTGAACGATTGCACGAAAGAGTATAATGAGGTATACCTATATTGTAAAGGTTTACTAGTAGTTAAAATGGTGAACGATTGTACAAAAGTAGTTAAAAAGTGTATTTTTATCAGGGCAATCTCACATGTACCTACGTAGAACACGTCGTGAAAAGTAGATCACTTTCAATTTTGTGCTATTTTGATTTATTTTAAAAAGTAATATGAAGAGATGAAGACAATTTTCTTATAGATGAGGATGCAGAACAAATTGTGGCTCAATTTTTTAGGGCTCCAGTCCCTTATGTCTATTTATTTTATAAATTGTTGATAGGTATTATTTACTTGATTTGTGTGTTTTTATTTAATTTGAACAATAATTTTGTGTAATATCTTGTGATTCGTTTTCTGTACATTTTGGCATGTATTTGTTCGCTACATATTACAAAGGATGGATTTGATACTTTCCTAAAGACTGGCCGAAATTGAAACCGATTGCAGTTCCTACAGAAAATCTTCAGTATAAAAAAGCATTTGTCTGCATGCAGAATAACAGTAGAATAGGTTAAAAAGGCTGCAAACCTTTGTCTAGCTTTTTTAATAGTTCAGGGAAATAGTTTTAACAGCAGACCACAACAAGAACAACCAAAGTTTAGTAATCAAGCAAAATATTTCAGTATCTCCAGAATTATAAACTTATGAAAACTATAATAGGAAATTTCTATGGCTTCGAATAGAAAATTACTCAAATTAGCATATCTAGTGAATATTAAATTTAAAAATATATTTTTTATCGAAATTTTTGGGCTTCTACTTCAATATTAACAATATAGAAATACATATGCATTTTATAGTATTAAGTTAGATTCAGATTAAATGTACCCTTAATTTATAAACATTATTAAACTAAAATAAACCAATTTCAAATAACTGTTTTTTATTTAAATAAAACATGATAAATACCTATATGTTCTTATTAAATACATAAATTAGTCTCAACCACACACATTTGTTTGTTTTTACTTCTAGTGGCGAAGTCTACATTTAAAATGTGACTACTAATTATTCAGTCTTTCAAGTTTATTATTTAAGGAAACCAGCTCTACAAAATATCCTATTGGCGATAAACTAATTTCTCTTTAATAATGGTTTTGCATATATCAACATTTTACAGCACTTTGTTTATATGAGACATCTACCTAGCTCTTTTAATTAAATCACACATATTTACAACAATTAAATCAAGTAATTACATTTTCATGTTCCACTTATGTATTCTTAATATTCTTATTGGTACTTAGTCATTTAAATGTTGAAAGAGAATGTCATAGAGGTAAAATTCCGTCTTCTATGATGTTGTCAATGCAATTTTAGGTTCTAAACATTTTGCCAAACATTTTTTTCACAATTTATCCTAAGCAACACTATGAAAGATTTAAATCCTGGATTTACAGCATCCAGTTTTGACTGTTTTGAGATAGATGAGAGGAGTGCAGTCAAATGCAGTTTCAGGAATAATTTTCACAGGAACACTTATTTACCTCAGCACAAACGCATGTATCTATTCGTGTGTGTAACATAAAAATAAAGTGAAGGTAAATTGCATAATTTGGTATATAAAAAAGCACAATATGTTTTTAGTTTTTATTCCACTACGAGGAAAACATCGGTTCATTCCACTTGTACCATTTTGAAATAGTGCACGTTAAAAGTAGATCTCTCTCTGTTTTTATAATACTATTACTGCAGGACAAACGATAACCGTGGATTACGCCAAACTAACATCAGAAAAGTGTTGCCAACTTAAGCTGACTACTATTTCCCCCCTAGCCTCAGTCACCCTCTCATCCATATACTGGGTCTATGTCGCGACCCCCTAAGATAAGGTGGTATATTTCGAAGGTCACCAGATTTTTATTAAGATGGCAGTTGTACGATGGTAAAACAAGATATTTACCTACAACTGGTACTAATCATAGTTTTAATATAAATGTGAACTTAACTATATAGTTTCTTTTGTGAAAAGTAACTTTGAAGGTAATAAATTTACTGGTATAACTATTATTACCGAAAATAATATGTATATAGAAATTGAAAAATATGCTCCACTTTGTTGCTTTTAATAAATAATGAAATTTATTTTTATTTTTACAAATTTGATGCTTAATAATGATTCTCCAAGTTATACAGAGCTTTTTATAAAAAAAAATGTTTTTAGCACTATATTCTGCTATGAAACAAAAATAAATAATTTCAGATGTTATATATTGTTCTTTAACCAATTCTGTATTTGTTAATAAATAATTGTGGATCATTTGTTTTATATTATTGTAATCTCATAAAGATACAGCAATGGAACAATATTACTAAACAATGTAACGAAAAAAACTTAAATTATAAGACCCGGACTAACGCCATTATTCGAGTACTCTTGTCTAACTACCACGTACTTGACGGTCTTGGCACCACAGAACAATTACTTTTAGAATGAAAACTGCAATGTTAAAATTTTAGACAGTTTTGTAACACCCGGTGAGCGTTCTTTGAACTATTTGGCGGAAGTGGCGCCATCTCTGGGTCACTTTAGTTAACACAAAACGCGGGAACATTCAAAATGGTCCTTCAATATTTAGTTTAAAAGTGGTAATCAAATTAAGATTTGTTCATACCAACTCCTTTTTTACGTTTATTGTAGCAATAAAATTATATTTGTTACAATAAAGCAAAAAATGAGTAGTATGAACCAATCCTAACTTGACTACAAGTTGAAATATTTTAACAAAAAATTAAAAAGCATGATCAACAAAATTAATTTATTAAAACAAAAAAAACATACAAAATAGAATAATTAAATGTAGCGTGTTAATTAGCTGGAAAGTTAAGTCATTGTCCACAGAGGTTGAAGAGTTTTATCTAAAACAAAAAATAAATATTAATCAACTTATAAATCAAGAAGGGTACAGGAAGAAAAAGCAGCTAAGCCACATTTTTATCAAAATTGAACTGGTCCGCCCTATTTTGTAAAATACCAGTATTAGCAAATGCAAAACAGTGCATTTAAAATTATGTCCAAGGACTTTCCTACTGTTTGTTTGTCAGTTTCAGTATTTAGAATAAAAAATTACAACTGTCTGGTAAATTAAGTGGTAAACTACAATATAATCAGGCAACATTTAAACAAAGTAACATCTTTTTGTAATCAATTACCTTAAAGTATCAAAAGTTTGTATTTAGTCAGTCTAAATTTAATTTGATTTTCTGAACATTTTGGTAATTGTGACTAGGCCCCTTTTTTTCCTGAACCCTTCAAATCTGTTGGGGAGCACAGAAAGTGAGGCATAAATAAAAAACGGTATACTGACCATTACTTCCCGGACTAGGCTATTTTGTCTTCCACAATCCAATATTGCCATTCCAAACGGCTTGAAGAAAGTTTGTACTAGAACAAATAAAAAACAGTAAAAGTAACAATCTGAACTAAATCAATATAAAAATCAAATGTGAGGCATGAATACAAAAAGTACAGTGACTATTACTTCCCTGACTAGGCTGTTTTTGTCTTCAACGATGCAATACTGCCACTCCAAACGGCTTGAAAAAGTTTGTACTAGAACAAATAAAAATACAGTTAGATCGCTGCGTGCACCAAGAACTTTAAACATATCTTTAAAATGTTTATCACATACTAAATAGTTTTTACAAATTTGTTGTTTTATTCTTGAAAAATGGACTGTGAACACCCAATACTCAAATTTGAAA